CCTACCTACACAGTCTAGGAATATATTCAGCTGGCCCCGTCTCCCAATCCCTTCCGCCAAAATCCAACGAGGTAACTAATATCTGTTGCAATTGCCAATGCCAATTTTCCTATTTAATATGCCACGAATTGACATGGGCCGTTGCCATTAAGCATTTGATATGACCAGGCCCAGAGCCAGGCCCAGAACCAATGGACTATTGGCCATGTTTGGAGTTGGTCGCCGGACATGTGATGACATTGCATGGGCCACAAGCAGATGCAGTTACGGCTGCAGTTGCAGTTGCAGTTCCAGTGGCAGTGGCATCCGTGCCTAATTTAATCAAATTAGCTGAGAAATGCAGTGGAATGGAATTGCTCGTTCGGCCAGCGAGAGGCAGAAACTCATTACGTTAATCAGTTGATTGTGCGAATCTAAAACAAATTATGACAGAGCTGCATATGGCCGGGCATATGGCAATTTCTATAATTAATTCTCGAACCACCCACCCATCCATCCACTCTCCCTTCATTACGCTGCTCAAATGCAATTTGTGCAATTTAATTTCATTAGAATAATTCTAATTAGGGCAATGAGTTGTAGGTGCTATCACAGCCGAACAATCGTTTGACTAAGCGCCAGCTCTGCGAATGGGATGCAGCTGTTTGTGAGCGTGTGATAACGGAAATTTAATTGAAACTGTGGCAGCTTTTGTGAAATTATTGGAATGGCCAGAAAGCCAGCAAGTCAGAAAGCCAGAATGCCAGGAGCAGCCAACCAGCGCGAGAACCAATTACATTTAACAGCCGACTTGACCATGCCCCCCAAGCACCCAAACACCCAAAACCACCTAGAACCCAACCCAAAACCCACTAACCAATCCCCATTGATGCTCTGGTGTCCAATGATAAATACGGCTAATGGAAGTTGCCCTCACAGATTATAATGTTTGTTGCCATCTAAATTGAATTGCAATCGAGGCTCGCTGCCCTTGGATCGGTATTAAAATTCATTTAAATCGACTCGAATGGTAGAAGCCATAACCCGGCTATCGCAGCTAATCATCTAAAGAAGTGTTTTATGTGTGTGTCGCCATTGTTGGGTGCACATTTCCAATCAGATAAACACGCAGCCGAAACGCACGAACTGAAACTGAAACACAAACGGAATTACGAGACCCACAAAAGGGAGGTGGAGGACCTCCGGGGGACAGGGACACCAGGACAATGAGGAAATGGTCGAGGACGTGGACGTGGTCGGAGGAGCATTGTTCCCTCTGCTCCTCGTCGTTGTCACTAATTAGTTAATGCATGACCAAATATTTGCTGCTGTCTTGGCCTGAACTCCGGCCTTTGAGAGGAGAGGCAGCCAGCACTCAGGCAAATTCGATTTCTATTGAACTGTTTAATCACTGATTTACTTAATGCACTTTAATTGATCGGATGGATATCAACATTTGTTATAAGTATATTGGACTAAAGAGCAAATTAAGTATAACTGCAATAAAATATAGAATACAATTTTTAAAGGAGTCGTGAATTGTATGTGTTTTTAAATGAAATAAAATAAGTCTAAGTGGCGACTTATAATAATATGAAAGTTATTTTAAATTTCCAAAATAACAATTCTATATTTAAAGTATTTTATAGTATTAATGGTATTTTTCCATTGGTCTTATCTTTAAAATAAAATAGAACTATCACAGCATTTATTCATATCATAAATTCAACTTGCTGTTTGACTTGACTTTAACTAATTAGCTAATGCAGGGGTCCCCAGAAATATATGATGGGACCAACAGAGACAAGAGTTTCCCCTAATAGACCTGCCCCATCCACATCCACATACACATCCACATCCATAGGCACAACCCAATCCCAATTCCAAACCCAATCCCATAGACAGACCCATTGATTTACGTTCATATTTAGTGCGGTTTATTTATGTCGTTTGTTGCATGTTCCCCAACTGGTTTCAGGTGGCGTGCCCCATTATCATCCCGGGCGAGTGTGTATCGGTGTGTGAATTGGTTTCCCATTGGCTGAACATATGCCCACTGCCACGCTTATCTGCGATGCTGATTAACTGATTTATATGGCTGGTCATTGCTTATGCATTGATCACCGTATTTTTGTAGTCTGATGGACTCGAAATGGTCGAAATGGGTATTGGAATTAGAGTAACTGTTTCAGTTACCATTACAATTGACCCGTGACATGTGCGACACTTTTGCATGTGTGTCTGTTCGGGGGTAATTTCCAAGGCACCAGACACCGGCTCGAATGACTTATTTTGTTTCAATTATATTGTAATTATATAGCAATTAGGTTTACCTTTTTCGCTTCGCTTTGCTTTGTTTTCGGCTAACTTTGCCGTAATGGCAGAGGACAGTGCCTAGCACGTTAAGCTCATGTGATGCTGACGAATCAGGTGCATATGGCATTTAAGTACAGTGCGTTTCAGTAATGGAATGTGGTTTAATATTATTTAAATTCATTTGTAATCGGTATTAATACTTTAGAGTTGGAAGTTAACAAACAATAACTTTTTTAGTTGAAGAAGGAAATGAGTTAAGCAAAGAATTGAATATAATATATATAAATCAAATAAGTAATAAAATTAGCTTAAATCAATTATCTGCTTTGTAAGGGAAATCTTTTTAGATGATACTGACATTTTTCAGAATTAAAACGAAGTCAATCTAAAAGATAGTGGGCAACCAATTCAGAAAAATCATAGTAATATCTACATATATCCGGAAAAAAGCAGACTCTTCAGAAAGAACGACTTACACTTTGTTCACGCACTGTCTAACCAGCGATATATATATTTCAATAACTGAACAAATCGGCCCTGCTTGACTGTTTGGTGGTGCCGTGCAGCTAATTGCTGTCCCAATTATTGTAAGGCCCAGAGATATACCCAGCCGATAGGTTCGCATTTATTTTATTGTTTGCAATTGGGAAAATTGATAACGAAATAAGGCGAAACAAAGACCTTGGTGCAAGGTGCAGCGGAAGCGGATGCGGAGCGACAAAGGCCCGAATGGGGTCATCATTGCAGTTTGCTTGGCTGGATGCCGGATTAATGGTCAGCTAACACGCGTTCGTTTGGCAGTTGGGAGTAGAGGTTCCTGGCCCATCATTCTGGCCCGGTATTCGGTGTAAAACAAAAGACTTAGGCAACGAACTGTGTTCTTATGGCACCTCACCAAAACACCAACAACTGCGCTACGAACATGCCATTTCACGCCTCCAAACAACTCATAATTCATGCGTTCAATGGCCAGCAACAAATGCTGCATAACAAATGACCAACATAGGCCGAGAATATCCAAAAAACCAAAGCACGTTTCTTGTGTAGCAAAGACGCATCGAAATTTAAAGAGCAATTCATAAGCATAAATGGCCATTATAGAGACATCATTGCGGGCCGGGTTTCGATGGCTGCTTATTGGATTTATTACCAAACCAATTTCGATTTTTTGTCCACTCATCTGAAAGCAATTAATCATCGGCGGAGCCTTCAGTTACCGTTCCTCAATTAGAATAGTTTTTGTGTTTTTTTTCTGTATTTTTATGTATATTTTTTTCTTCATAAATTATTTTTATTTATTTTTGTGATTTTTTTATGTGTTTTTCTGGTGATTGCCATTAAATTTAATACAATTTTCCATTTTTTTTGTTTCGATTTTAAATAAACATTACTTTTGCTTTGATTTATATATATTCAACTATCAATATGGCCAAATTACAATACATTTATCGTTTACACTTAGCACATAATACATCATATTTATATATATAGTTATACATATCGTATTCTGTTTATACCTCAGACATAAATTAGGTTAGGACTAAACTGGCTTTATACACACAACTTAGGGGATTACAGTTTTATGCTTAGTTGGATTTGCTTTTTTTGTGTTTTTTCTTTTTTTGTTTTTCTATAATTATACAAAAATTGCTAACAAATGTATTTTACAAATTGCCTTTAACATTTAATTTAATTAAATTTATTACATTACGTTTAAGTCTATGTATGTTTAAATGTTTATGGGTGTATATTTTTAAGACTTAGGCATTAACATTGAACATTTAAGTGTGTGTTTTTAGTTTTTAAAAGTTGACGGCGGCCCTCGCGTTCAATCAAAAACATTTTTCTGCTCCTTAACTGCCTGCATTTTGTTAAATTTATTTTACAATTGCTAATGGCGCGCCTTAGTGAAATTTGTTATGTTTATATTTATATATAGATTTTACTTTTTGTTTATCACGTCTGTTTTGTTTAGAGTCTAAGAATTTAACTAGTTTACAGTAGGCATACGCTCTAAAGTATTTGTGCAATTTTCAATTGCATTTTGCGAATTAGGACAAACATCTCAAGCAACTTCTCTTAAACCTACGATTTTTGTTTTTCCATTTTTACAAAAATGTTTACTTTTGGACGTGCATTTTAACTGTTTTCGTTTATTGTATATAATAATTTTAGTTCTCTGTGTGCTTGATTCTTGTTTTTGTTTTCGGTTTTGTTATATGTACACAATAAATATTTATGAAATTTCCCCTCACACTCCCTCGTTCGGTTTTTATGGCAGTTCATAAAGCACAATTAAATACGCTGAATTTGCGGCGAGAAATTAAATTAATTAAGCGAAATATGAAACATAAGGAAAAACTATACAAACACTCACAGAAAAGCCATAAAGGAAAAATAAAATAAAAGTAATGTGCAGCCCTTTAATTAATTTTAATGGGGCTTTTGTTATTGCTGCTGGCACTCGGCACTCGCTTTTGCTTTTGGCTCGCAGCAGCAACAACAGCAGCGACAAAGCTTAAATAATTAAAAATTGCACGCAATGTTTACAATTAGGAATAGCCAGCGTTCGTCCAGTTGGCACACCACCCCCACGCTCCATAATATTTTACTTTTTTGTTTCTTTGCTGGGATGTCAAGGGCGCGGTGCCGCTGTCAATTGCTGGCCAAGGAGTCCTCAGTTTGGCATTGTGTTTTGTCTGGTCTTTTTGTTTTTGTTATTGTTTTCTTCTTTTTATTTTGTGTTGTCTCGATTTATTTACTGCTCGACAAAGTCGATTCAGGCGTGGGATAAGTCGCGGCTCTAACTGAACAGATTGTTGTTCAAGTTGTTCCCGCTCCATCACGTGTAGTCAGTGCGCCAGGTGCCCTGAAGGAGAAAAGAGGAGAAAATTCCAGGTGGAGAGTTAGTAAAAATTCAGAGAAAAAGTTTGCATAGAGAAAAAAAATCATAATAAAAAAAAGTACAATTAATTCGAATTTTTTGCAAATATAATATATGTCCTACGTAAAGTTCAGAAAATCTCTTATTCCTCTTCATATTTATTAGAGAAAGACGTTTGAGTTTATGGCACAAGGAATTTATTTTGTTTGTAAATTATTTTTTATAAAATTATTTTTTATTTGAATATATTTTTTTATTTTAACAGTATTAGGAGTTTTTAAAACCTCTTAAGCTATTTTATTATAATTTAATTCAATACCAAAGTCAGCTATTTTTTGTCTGTGCCCTGAAAGCTCTGCTAAAAAGCTGCTGGTGCTTATAAAAAAATTTCTCTTCTACTCACCATCGAACTCAGGCCCAAGTGGTAGGGCTGCGAGTGGGGCACCACCGCTCCGCCGAGAGAGCCGGCGGTGGAGAAGCCGCCCTGCAGTCCGCTCGAGGCTCCCAGGGCGCCCATGCCGCCGGTATACCAGCTGCCGTGCATGTGCGCATGTGCCGGATGAAGTCCGCTCGAGAGGTGTCCATGTTGTGCTAGAAAGAGCGAAGGAAATGCGGTGGAGAACCGATTGTTAGTTGGACTGAAGGGCATTGCGATGGAGGCTCAAAGAGATGCTTACCCATGGAGGCCGAGAAGCCGCCGCCGAATCCCTTCGAGGGATCCAGCGGCTTGAAGTCGCCCATGCCCAAGTGGCCACCAATTGGCAGACAGCCGCCGCCCAGACCCTTCTTCTTCTTGGACTTGGAGCTCAACTTGCGGTTACGCGTCTGGATGCCCTCCTTTTTCATTGTGAGCGGGCGATTGACCTGCAAAATAAAGGGGAAAATAATTAGTTAAAATTCTAAAAATATTTTTACAAAATTTAATTATAATATTTGTATTTTATATCAGTTTTTGCCCTTTTAAGTGAGGTGTTTTTGATTAAAGTTCGTAGAAAAATTTTTCTTAAATTTCTACCATTTTCCTGCGTGTAGGTGGAAAATCAATAAAGTAAAAGCGAGCCGAAAACAGGGCTAAAACCGTCAGCGACTGACCACTAAAATGGGTCAAATTTATGCAAATTCATGGACCGGAAATGCCGCTAGCTGCACACGCTGTCTGTGTGAGACAGGGGTGGCCGAATGTGTGTGTGTGCCCCCCTGTGCCTCTGTGTGAGTGAGTGCAACCGGGAAGTGAAAATGAAGTATTACAAGCATTTCTACACGATCAGATAAGCGACATTTGCGAATGCGATTAGTTGGCGCTGATAGCGCTCCCAACGGCACCCGGGTAATGTTTTTCTCTGTTTTTTTTTGTTTTTCTCTTTAGTATATTTTTACTTGAAGCGTTTGCTGCCAATGTTGCTGTTGTGCTGCTGCAGTTGCTGCTGCCTCTGCTGCTGCTGTTCCCTTGGCCATTGTTGGGCTCTCTTCATATGCAACTCCTTATCACTTGCGAACATCTAAGCGGCAGCATGCGCTTCATTGCGCTACAATTACAATATTGGGTTACCCATTCCCAGCAGCAGCCGAAGCAGCAGCATTAGCAACAAAAGCAGTCAGAAAAACGCAAATGCAACATTACAAAGGACCAAGGGCTACCTGGGCGTGAATTACGACATTGTTGGTGCCTCTTTTTCTATATTGTGATTTTGATTTTGATTGTGATTGTACTTGTGATTGTGCCCTCTAAAAAGCAAACACAGAAATTGTTAAATTGCCGAGCGAAGAGCGAGCACTTTGAAGAGCCGAGATTTTCGGAGGGTTGTTGATGCGACGACACAAAACGTATCACTTACAATACCGATAGGGAAAGAAACCCCGTGGTATTTAGAGGAGATGGGAGGATCTCGGGGCAGCCCACGTAATTGATAGTCTCTCTAGCGTTTAGCGCAAATTGCGGCAATTAGCAACTCGACGGCAGCTGCGAATCTCTCTGGGCTTTAATTGATATGCAGCAACAAAGCATAAAGTTGTTAATGCCCAGGCCCAGCTCATTAGGAAATTCAGAGGAAAACCCCAAAGGGGGCCATCTGCAGATTAACTTTTTTATGCATAAAATCTAAATCGAGCGTGGAGCGAACACGCGCCGCTGCAGCTGACTGGCAACTTGACAGCCGCCGGGAGGAGTACGCACCCGAGTGCAGTGCAGCAAGTAGCCCACCCACAGATCGCATCCAAATGCGATATATACACCCGATATAAACCCGAGATCAGAAGCGGGACAGGAGGCGACGGGAGAACGGCGCCAGGCACCGTTAGGTTCACCTTTATGATTTTCTATATTCTATACTTCATTGTCACACCGCCGCCAACGCCGCAGGACATGGCCCAGCAGGTCACCGAGGACCTTGTATTGGGACCTGCTCAACAATTGTCCCATTTGCCGTTAATTAACATGCTGATTCTCCAAGATATGGCCCGATTTCAAGGAACTACCAAGCAGACACGCGCAGATGCGAGATAACAGATCAAAGATCTAGCAAGTGCATATCCAGAAAAGATACAGGAACGAGTGTGTTTCAGATTACAGTGGTTGTGGGTTTTTGAAGAAGGAAAGTAGTTTATAAATAATATTTAAAGGTTAGTAAAAATAGATGTGTGTGGGGTAAATAAAATCCAATAATAAGTTATTTTAGGGCATGATAATTTTGGAATTTATTTCTAACCATTCCTTCTATTCCTTCTATGCCACACTGTACCGCTATGCCAAGTGCCTGCAACATTTCCATAAAATGTGCCAATCACTTTGGTTAGAGGCCCACACAGGCGGCACTGCTCGAAATGACAAACGAATTGAATTGAAATGAACTGCAAGCCAGAAAAGCAGCCAAAGCATAAAAAGAGAAAGAGATGGCGAACGAGGTGGGGAAAGAGAGAGAGCACCTACATGGCTACCAGAGAGAGATGGCTAAATGGCAATGGCAAAAATGCGCGCTGATTGGCATCTTATCGAGATGGGCCACTGTCCAATTGAAGGAAAATTTTTGCAAAAATAAATTTCGCCTGTTCAGCCACCCAAAGTGCATTTTCTCGTATGTCGGAAAAGTTTTTACTTTGTGCAAATCAGATTACGGAAAATAGAGCAAATGTGTGTGTGTGTGTCTGCTCGCTCTTTGATATTTGCCTTTTATGGACGGGCTCAATTAAAAATATTTCGCCTTTGCCGATTGCCATCGAAATGCAGCCGCTTTGCTTGCAAGTGGCCACAAGTGGCGGCCGCAACTTAATTAGTTTGCCACACAGCTATTCGCACAGCCACTGTGCGGCACAGTGGGCCAGACAGGTGGCCCATCACTTAAGGGCCACTGACATGTAAATGTGCCAAAAGTTCAACCGCAAAACTCATTAAAACTTGACTGCAGGCCACGAAAGAAACCCCAAAAAAAAGAAAAGAAGGACACACCAACCGAAAAAAACTGTAAGGTGGGGGACAAACTTGAGCTTATCCCCTGAAAAGCGTGGCTAATGAATATTTAATAAGAGATTTTGAGGGGATGGCTGGATGGCTGAACATTATTCAATTGAATGCAGTTAGCCGGGCAGTCGATTACATAAATTAACTCTGCCGACGGGGAGATCTTCTAGCATCCTGCCACGCGTTGCCCATAACTCGGGGAAATCGGGGAAAGCTTATCGCATTTTCACAGCCAAACACCAGACGCTTATCGCTGGATGCCAAGTGGTGGGTGGTGATGGGTGGTGGCTAGGCTAACTGGCATCTTTAAATAATCATCGGGCATTCATCATCATGAGGGTAAAATAACAATACCCAAACAGCAAGCAGCAACCTGCTGCGGCAACAAATGGAGAAGCTAAACGGCAGTCAACCCCCTGGGGTGGCCGGAAAACGAGAAAGCGGAAAAGGGCGGGCTTTCCCAGACACTTCATTTTTGTCACATTTAATCCGGGTGCGTGCGCTTCCTGTCCAGCAAACACTCGCGTGGAGAGTGTCCGATTCCGATGTTAAATGTGGCGTTAAATCGCGCGGATCGAAAATCAATAGGAATGGGGTGAGGGTCTAGAGATGCCTAGGAAAGCTAATAGTTCCGCTGACCAATGGAGCTCGAATTTGCAGTGGAAAAATACGAGATAAATTCCAAATGAAATCACCACGAAGATTTTTACCCAGAAAATATTTGTAAAATCTTTCCTGATATTCTACAAATTTTTTTCTCACTGTAGCTATAAATTACTATCAAGATACTTACATTGTGCAGCTTGTAGTACAATCCGCAGGCGTTGCACACTGGCTCGCCGCTGGCATTGCGTCGCCAAAGGGTTGTGGTTGTGGTCTTGCAGTTGGCGCAGGATGTGCCCGCCCTTTTGGCCGCACTCTGCAGCGATTGCAGGGTCTATAAATAGAGGAAAAAGAATAGGAAGTAAAGGGTTAGATATTGGCCAACGAATTATGCTTATTTTCATGTATTTCCCATATCCCGAAATGATTATGCAAATGTTGCTGCAACACGGCTAATTGAACAGCGCCAAAACTAACGCACAAAAGTCAGCCACAGGAATCTGTTGCCGCCCCTCCTTTCGAAGTTCGAACCTCCCCACCTTCCAAAACAAAGTTGCTTAACACACCAGGCAACAACATTTTTTAGATGGCATACCAAAAAATAAAAATAAAGAAAAACTGTGGAGCCCAGAGAACTCGGAAACTCAGACGGGGATGGAGTTGGAGAAGGAGACACAGAATTGTGGCTGCCTTGCGTTCGACTTGGGTTAACAGCAGCATCAATTCATTAAAATGACAATTTTTACAAAACTGCCCAAAAACAACAGCAGCAACAACAGCAACAACAAGCTGGGATCATGTCTGTGCCACGCTTAAATTTCCACGAATTGGCTACAAGAACCGAGAATCGAGCAACGAGCCCACAGAATCGAGAATCAAGAATCGAGAACCAAGAGCCCAGAGTCGAGAGTCGAGAGCCCCAAAACCCAGCCTCTGTTCCTTATCCCTCCCCCCATTTCTGTAGTACAGACTTTGTCTGCGTTTTGGTCTTCGTTATGGCATGGCCCCCTCCATTTGTGCCCCCTCTATAAATACACTGAAAGATGTGGAAAATGTTTCATATAAAGTATTATAATTTCATATAAAGTATGAAAATTGTATAGAAAATATTATATATTTTCTTATATTTTCAGATATTAATTTCCTTATTTTATGGCTTCAAAATATACATATCTTAAAATAATAGAATACAATTTTTTCCTAAGGCTTAGTACTCAACCCAACAAAAAGTCGTCCAAAACAAAAATCTTCTTATGAAAAACAAAGTCAAAAAATTTTGTTTCATATGAATTTTTTGTTTTGGACGACTTTTTGTTGGGTTGAGTACTATCCCTAAACCTTTTTCTATAAAATCCCTATAAAATCCGCAACTTTTTCTCTCTCTGCAGCCTTCCAGTTTGGCTTGTTCATGCTGCTGGTACAACACATGGCTACGAAGCCTTAAACTGGCGTTGATCATGTTTGACTTTGATTTTTAATTGTTGCCTCTGCCACAAGGGAATCGCCTTCGTCTCCGAGAGTTTGGATTCGACTTCGATCCGCAGCCCGATCTCGATTTCGATTTTAAATTCGATCTGTTTTGTTTTTGGCTCTGGCTTTGCTTTGCTCTGATCTGCTCTGTGTGTCTCACCTGTTCCCGATTTGGCGATTAACATAAATCAGAGGTCATATGGCAAGGGAGCCGAGCTGAATCTGCGCTGACTCTGAGCCAATGGTGTCTGCATTTTTTTTGGTGGCACTGTCTTGTGTTAACGAGCTTGTAACAATTTCTGCAGACAGCGCACGCGGACCGAAATGCCAGCCGAAATGCGAAAAGTGAGAAATTCAAAATTAATTTCAACGCCTACGAGGGGCGAGATGGGACAAACTGGAGGATAAACTGGAAGTTTTGTGGTAATTATGCTGCAGTCTCTTTTTTTTCAGCCCGGCCAACAGCGACAACTTGGCCGAAATGCTTAAGCGTATATAAATTAAGTTGTTAACATGACAATGCAACAAAACAGTCCGAGGAGCAGCAAAAAAGTAAACAGGATCAGAGTTTCGCATTCCAAGCCAAATGGGAATGGGTGTTCAACTTCTGGCCGGCAACTAACTCCTGTTGGCCAACAGTGTCACTTCGATTCTGCAGCACTGACGTAACGCAACATAACGTCGAGTACAGTGAGTACAACAATCACGGGCCCAACAATCGAGCGGCAAATCACATAAATCAATGTCAGACCCGCCTGCATGCAAAGTGCGAGCGAGAGCGAGAGGGGTATAATTGACTTCTCGGCCGGTGGGGGAGGCGTATGGGGTTTTTGATGGGAAAATTGACAAACTGTCAGACATTGACAGGCGTTTGGGGTTTAATTGAAATGCAAAAAGCGCAAGCGCCAAAACAACAACGAACAAAACAAGATGGCGCTTGCGATTAATAAACAAAGGCAAAAGGCGAATAAGGAATGTTTTATGTGCCGCACACCATTAAAATAAAAATCATTATAATCCATTATTTAGTTTTAAAAAGGTCTTTAAAAATATCCAAAGTTGGGGATTTAGTTTTCTGTTTGAAAATAAAGTTAACAAATAGCAAAGTTTAAATACTAATAATGCTTTAATTTTATTTAAGTACAAAAGTTAAATCTTTGTTAAATAAATTGCTACAATTCTGACCTCTGTTGTCTCGGTCCTTGTGATTTTTGTGATTTATCAATGCATGACAAAATGCGTTTGCATTGTCCGTCTCTTTCTTAACTTCTATATCCCTCTCTTTCGCTCTTTTGCTGGCCCAACATTTGACACCTTTTGCTGCGCTTTGCTTGATTTATGTCTTTCTTTTTCAAAAAATATAAAGCTCACAAAATGGTCGACTCGTCTTCTTTTTATTTTTCTTATCTTTGGGATTATTCCTTTCTTCCCCACTGCTTTGCTTTTGTGATGTTATGCAAATTTCGTTTTCATTTCACACAAAAAACACTCACAGGCATTTAAATATTTAATTGTAAGTGAAACAGAGATTCCTAAGTTGGGTAAATATGTACCGAGTAAATAGACTCTCCCCCTCTACACTGCTATTTATTGCGCAGCTTTTGTGCGCTCTCTTTTTGAGTCGTCGTTCAGTGGCAATGCCCTTTGCCATCTGAGATACGAACCGGGACACAGTCAAGATGCTGGGGAAAAAGGGGGTTGGGTGTTTTCGGGGTGTTAAAGAGGGGGAAAAGGACGAGTTTCTGCCCAGTAGATGTTGTATCCGTATCTCAGTGTAACATCGTTCACTTGGGGCATCTCTTTCGCTCTTCTTTTTCCCTTTTTTTTTGTATCTTTTGCCCCACCACTTGGCTGTATCTGTATCTGTGTTATCTAACAAAACATTCATTAAATTTTTCGCAGTCGTTTTGCAGTCTACCCTTAAGTTGGCTTACAGCGCATGGCCGCCCCCTCAATCTGGGGGTTGTTTTGGAGCCACCCACTCACACACCCACATATATACATATATAGAGTATATATCAAGGGAAGATAGCTAAAGATAGCGGGCAGAAAATTTCTATATCTGATGCTGTACAAAAAGGGGGGCCAAATGGGGTTTGTTGGGTTTGTGTCTGGCACATAGCAGTTACATTCAGAACGGTGAGCGCATATCTCTGACTGTGGACTGTGAAATTTAATTTAAAAATTCAAATTTTATGCTCTGCTCTTTTCTTTTCAGTTACTTTTATACTACATTCATTCTAGTTCCTGTTCCATTTCTCCTGCAGCTGTTTTTCGAGGGCGGTCAGGGGGCGTGGTGACTCAGTTGTGCGGCTCTGTGGCTTTCCCTGCAGCTAATTTGACTAATTAAAACATCAGCTTAACTCATTTCCATGCTCAAGCTGCGACCTGGCACGAAACTGTTGCTAAAAATCACACCTGCCCCTGCAGAGAGGAGTTGGTTATAAAAAATCAATAAAATGTTATATGGCCAGCAAACAGAACAAGCCATTAATGTCGCTCATTAATGCTGCTCAATGAATTTTACGATCCAGACTTGGGCTTTTACCGGGGAGGGTTTCAAACAGACGACGTTCAGGGTTCGGTTTGTTCAGTTTGTCGCATGGAAATGCTAAAATGTCAACGGGCCATTGTTGTGAATTTTAAGCAGCCAACAGTGGCTAACAGAGTTTGACCCGAAACATAGAGAAATCGACAGGTAACATGAAATAAAATTAAGGAAATCTTTAAATTAATTTTCCTAACAAATATGTGAACCCAAATATTTTTAGAAAATTAAAATATCACAATTATAGACTATTTTTAATACATTTTTTTAAATACTCTATTTTTTTCAGTGCAGTGACTTGCATTTAATGCGAAACCACAGTTGCAATAGACTGACAACCCCTCACACCTCCGCTGGTAACCTTAACTCCCATTGGAAGGCATGAAAATCGTCATTAATATTTGTCACTGGCCATTGAATGGGGGCAGCGCGAACCTAAATAAATTATGGAGCCGGCCAAAGGGGCGAGGTGGAGCCTTGTCGTCAGTGGCTAACCAAAATGAATGGGCGCTAGACACGCGCAGCCCACCCTACCCCACTCCTAACCCCCCGAACTGCGTGTTCGTTGTCTGTAAATAAAATAAAAGGGTTAGAAAATGCACGAGCAACCCTTTTCTGGCGGGGGTGTGCTGTAACCTGTGCAAAATTATGCATTTGCATATTAAACAGTCACCATAAATTTCGTTTAGAGAAAGAGAGGCCCAGCAAAAGCGAAAGCAGCTCAAAGGCCGCTGAATTCCCGCTTAACAAGCTTACCAAAAAAAATTGTATTAAATATATAAAAAAGAGTTGATATAAAATGGGATGAAAAAAGAACAAGACAAGACAAAAGGCTGGCTTGGCCTTAATCATCATCGACGGGCAACCCTTTTACTGGGCTGGAGCCACATTTGAGCCTTCGTTTGAGCCCCTCTTTCATTATTATTATTGGCACGCCCCGTTTTTGCTGCGTTGCGTTGCGCTTCGTATCGTTAATTTTTAATTGATCTGCGCGGCTGCATTCCCTTTTTTCGCCGATCAGGTTCGTCAGCTCGCTTTTGTGGCCCCAAGTGCATTTTAATAACATTAGGCCCCCACTTAACGAGATCTCCTAGCGCCCCAAATAAGAACAGCCGAAAACAAGAGCACAAAAACAAGCTTAATGCCCGCGATTGCGTATACGCCCCGTTGGCTGCGCGCGACGATCATCACGATGAAGAGGCCAAAAGGAGTAACGTACATTGAACTTTTTCTTTATTTTTGCCAGTTACCTCGCTTTTTCGTGATTTTATTCCCTTTTTCGATCTGCTTTAGTTTTGATTTGGCTGGCTGTCGTTCGATTATCGATCGTCTGCCCTTGTGCATTTAATTTTTAGCTTCGCAGCCTACAATCGATTCGATTTTCCCACGGGGAACCCGAGAAGATGCCACAGCTGGGCCCAAAATGTGTTAATTAGTTTTCCCCCGCGGTCTCTCTTTCTCTGTCTCTGTCTCTTTCGTTTTCACTGCTGCCGTCTCTCTCTCAGCTTCTCAGTGGGTTGGCCACAAAAAATCCAACGATCGTTGGCCCGCTGCGATCGTTTAAGCCTGGTTTATGGCTGTTAACCGTTTGGCTGTTGAGCTGTTAGCGTTGAAATACGCCCGCGGATTAATAATTAATTAAGCTCTATTCTCCATTCTCCAAATGCATTCATAAGCGATTGTGTCAAGTGTTGATGGGTTTATTGTAGCTAACTATTTCTAAATGGCAATCGACAGAGAGCTTTTCTTGGTAGCGCTCAATGCGGCATGCAAATGTGACATAAGCCAGTGTAATAAGCGTAAGAATAAATAATTTTTTAACTTTGTTTTTGCTTTTGCCATGACGTGGCCGTCGTTTTGTTCAATTTACTGTGTGAAAATTCGCATAAATTAAGCAGCCAGCAACTGAGGCATAAATATTATGCAAAATGCAAGCGCCGAGACTCGCCCCTTTCGGCCCCCCTTCGAAAAACCCCCTCCCCCAGATTATATAAGTCACGATCGGCGAGATGAGCAGCTGCCTGTTGACTGCGATTGACCCCAGCTTGAGTTTTGTGTTCTTTGCGGATTTGCGGCTTTTAAACATGGATTGGCAATTAGCCATAGACATTAAGTGTTTCTAAGGTGAAGTTAGGAATATTCGGAAATAATTATAATTATTTTTGTATTGTAATATTTATTTTTTAGAATATTTCTCACTCTTTCGATCTGCACTGCCTGGCAAATGTGACAAATGCCTTTCAAGGCTGCCACCAAAAAGGGCAGGGCAGCCTGGCGGCTAAAGGCGAATACAAAACGAAACTTTAACGCTTTTATAAAGGTTTTCGGGGCCTTATAATTAAATGCAATTATTGCGACGCCAGCGGGCTGCTTAGCCAGAGTTCAGCAACAACAAAGGAGCAGAACAGCGGCGGAACAACTGGAAAAACATATGTAAGCGAACGGGGCCGGCAAAAAGTTAAGGCTAAAGCTCTGCCAACTGGCAACTGAAAACTGAAACCGAAACTGAAACTGAGTTGCGGGCTAAAATACATAAATTAAAAATTTGCATTGTTCTGTTTCGAGGAGGTACACAACACAACACACAACGAAACACAAAATACAAAAAGAGAATTTTGCAGTGTTTTGCGCTGGAAGAGTAACGACTTGTTGACTGTTTTCATACAATTCGGAAATTTAATTAAAGGCGGCCCCAAAGCAGCAGACAATGAGGACCGGTTCCCCGCCCCCCTTTTAGCTGCAGGTGCATCGTATGCAAAATCCCAAGCCCCATCGAAATCGAAAATCTTGACCCTCCTCTCTTGAATCGCGTCGCGACTGAAGATCAATACAATTGCCACCCAAAGAGTTTCGGGGCCAGATTCTCAGTGATTTCAATGGTCAGCAGGCAGCAGCCCTCGGCGAAGGCCGGGGCAAACACAATTGAATTGCATTTCAAGCAGCTAAGGACATTTGATGTTGATGGGCCGCATCCTGTGCCAGTGCTTTTGGGATGCCACCAGAGAGAAAGGAGCGAGTGGTCCATAAGTCAGCTGAGTGCCACATAAATTTTAATTTGTTGCATATTTTGTCAACGAAAAAGACCAATGGCCAAAACACTCGTCGAACTGCGAGGACTGACTGTATGGGATCCAGCTGTGAATTTCTTGGGAATTCCCAACGTCAGCGGGGACCAGCGGGGATAATAATGGTTTATTTATGTTAATGTTATGCAATCAAAACGCATACGATTTAAATGCCAATAAAAAATCAACGCCGAGCCACGCGAAGGCGATGGAGAAGGCGAAGGCACAGTGTTTAACAGTTTGTTTGTTTGTGGTTGTTGGTCGTGTTGTTATGGTTGTTGCCTGCCTTTTTACGCATCTTTAATAGACCAATTTTTCGTGTGGTTAGCCTCTTTGCGTTCGCGTTCGCTGCTTAAGTCTTTCGTTTCGTTGCGTTTCCTACTGGCGCCACAAAATATAAAAAAAACGAAAAGCGAGAAGCGAAGAACGAACCTGACCGCGCGACAAGGTTACAGATATTTTCATAGTTTGTTGATGATCCAGCTCGATAAAACCCGAACCGTAACCCACACACATACTCCGGCTGCTGTCTGATTATGTTTTTAGTGCGCTAAGTGATAATGATGATGCACCTCGATCATTATCAGCCAGCATCCAAATCGAAAGCATTTTTCCCATACCCATTCCCGATCCCATCCCCCAAACAACTGCAATCAAGAAACGTAAAGAGTTTCTGGTTCCCGGAATCGTATTATGACATTTGAGAACTTTCACGCTGCTTTTTATGGCCTTTGGCGACAGAAACGTGGCCCCAGATTGATGCTCATGTGCGGCGATTTCCCAGGAAGGCCGCCCCACTCCCCAATTCAGTTGCTGAATTTATTAGTTAATTTGATCGAATGTGTGGATGTTTAGCCCAGCGGGTCGTTCCAATATCTGTGTATCTATCTATGTAGTATTTAACTTACCAGTCTTCGCTTTGGCTTGATCAGGGGTCGGTTCTGGCCGTTCATTTTGTAGTACAGGCCACAGGCGTTGCACAGATAGTGTCCCGTTCCATCGCGTCGCCACAGTGGCGTCGATGTGGCGCCGCAGTTCACACACTCGCGTCCCTCTGCAAAAATTATAGAACAAATATGCAAATATTTAATGGGTGTTTTATAGTTTTAAAAGGTCTAATCCAAGATTTAATACATTTATTAAATAGTTTGTTAAAATTTTTTGTTACAGTACAAGTTTTCTCGAACTAAAAAAATGCATTTATTGTTCTTAAAAATCTCTTAAATTATTTACTATTTTAAAGTTACTTATGTTAGATGTTAGGTTGTGGAAAAGTTGCACTGTAATTAGAGTTTGCAGACACTTAATGACATGGAAAATGTGACCTGAAAAAATGGCTTAAATGAGATATTATTTCTTTCGGTGTCGCATTCTTGGGCGATTGTGTTGGCGAACTTTCTTGGGCCATTTGTATGGGTTAATGTTAACCCAAAGCGCGCGACAACAACATGATGCACAGCAGCAGCAGCAGCGACAGAAGCAACAACAAAACAGCAGCAGAGGGCAACATTTTTCAGCTGTTTCTCAGTCATTTTGATGTCTTTTGTTTTTGTGTGTATGTTGCCTTGCTGGCTGTATTTTTTCCTTAGTTTTTTCTTCTGTTTTTTTTTTTTAATTTTTTCCTTTTTTTTGGGTTGCTGGGCAAACGCATGGAAGCGGAAATGATGGATTCGCTGGGGTCGGCTGTGTAGCCCCGTCTCTTTCTCGGGGCCTGCTTCCGTCTCTTTCCCGCATTGCCTCTGCTGACTTTACACATTTTAATTAAGCAGCGACAGCGACTTCGACTTCGTTCTAGTGACTGCAGTTTGGCCCGTCCACCACCCCCGTCTCTTTCTAGCCGCTAGATGTATGTCTCTCTCTCTCTCGCACCGCAGGGCTAACTGTAAGTCAGCCTCATTTGAATAAGTTTAGTCATAATTTGTAAGCAAAGTTGATTTGACCCGAGGGAGCGAGATGAAGTTGCAAATGTAACGCGTTATTAACGTTCCATATTACAGTTGTCTTCTTTGGGGCCGAGAGTTTTCTCCTCGGAACTCGGAACTTGGAACTCCCCCAACTTTTCCTCAACTCACTTAATGACGCCACTAAATGGGCTTCATTATTTCGGTTTTTGTGTGTTTAATGCTTCGAGTCTTTGTTTGTTTGCTGGTGCGCTTGTTTTGAAATTGAAATTTAGTCATAAAGTCACTCCCCCGAAAACCCCCTTTTTGTACCGAGTGCTACCCATTAGCTATGCTAAAAAGAAAACCGAAAGATTTAACGCTACTTTTGCTCGGAGTTTTCGGGTCCCTGGCGTAATTAATTAAGCCAACCTTTTTACATGGCCACATGAGCATAACTTTTTATTGAATATTAGCCACTGGCCAAGGAGGCGCACCCACAAAAAAAAAAGCAAGGGATCTCATTAAGTGCGTTTGTCAACCGCTCGCCTGCTGAAATGCCATTAGGGGAATTCCAGTTGCGTTTTGATGACAGAACCGGGCTTTATTTTTATTTTCATTTTCATATTTTTCGGGGGGTTTGCCTCACGTGATTTAGTTCACGCAGCCATTGTCACACGTGTCCTGCGGCGAGTCCTGCGGTGTCCTGTCTCCTGGCATGCCAGGCATTTTGTTCTTGAGCTTTCAAAGAAATTAAATAAAGCGCTCTGCGTGTTTTTCCCACTCCCCTCTCGTCAGCATGTGGTCAAGTAATCTCTTTGGTTTGTTTCTAGCTTGTTTCTTTTTTTATTTGGTGAACTGCCTGGGGCACGTTAAATAAACAGTTCATTTGTTTTCATTTAATCGCAAGTTTGCGCTGCCTTGGTTTATTTTTCGTGGATTTTTTGTTTGGCTTTTTATGGCACTTTTTAATTGCCGCAGGGCGTGTTTTTTTCTTCTATTTTTTTCTGCGTAAAAGTGCCGCCAATCAGTAAGGCAACACCCACTGAATTAAAATTGCATAAATTATGGCAAGGAGGAGAAAAGTTTTCCGTTTGTCTCTCAAGTGGCGAGAAATTGCGAATTTCTCTGTGTCTCTTATTATTTTTTTTAGCATACTCTATTCCTACATAGCTATAAATTTTCACCTGCCCTAGTCATGCATATTTATGTATGCCACATCTGTCTTCGGTTTGCACCTCGAACAGAAGCCGCTGAGAAATTGAAAACTTTATGCATTTATTAGTTTGTCATAAAGCAGAACAAGGCAAGCCATTTACATAGCATAAAAGGAGAAGTCCCCTCCGCCTTCAGTTGCATATTAAGCCATAAAGTGTGGCCAGCCATTGTTAGAGTTTTCCTTTGGGTTCAGTTCAGATTTTCAGCTTCCCGGAAAGTTGTGGGCATCGGGAGTCGGGAATCGGGCTCCTCCGCAAATCGGCAGTTAATAAATCAAACGTGTTAATGATGTTTTTACCCTACGTGCCCACTTTTGACAACACAAAAAGGCAGCCAGCCAAATTGAAAGGGAATAAAGTCCCAAAACGAAGTTGGCTGCTGCGCACGCGCACTGGGAATTCTTGGGTTTAACTACTTTTTGATTCGACTTCTATTTATAGGGATCCTCCGTTCCCGTCTCCGCCTCTGTCCCCGTGTTTTATGGCCATCAAGCATTTGTTTTAGATTTTCCCTCGGCTTTGTTTTGGTTTCAATTTGCCCCCTTTCTTGTGGCTTGTCTATAAACCCTACTCGGCTTTATTTATTTTTATTTTCATTTTCAGTTTCCAGAGAGACACGTAGCAGGTTGGCCTATGATTTAGTAGCCTGCTTATAACTGTTTTCCACCTCTACCCCCACCACTTACATCATCTTCTGTGGTCCATGGACCCGGGCCACTCATCTGGCTGTAATTTCCTGGAAATTTGTGCACACTTTGGTATTTCTTCGTCGCCGTTTGTTTTTTACGGTGTGACATTGTCTGGGTTCCAGTCCCAAAAAAAAAAAAAACTCCAGCTCAAACCCGAACCCGAACCCAAACTGAAACTGAAACCGAAACTGAACCTGTTTTTAGGGCCTGATTTGGCAGCCTCAGCCTTCTTCTCGGGCCGTCGTCCGGGGTCTAAAGGTCCAACTAACTGTTGCTGCTTGATTTGACATTTGGCGTCAGTGGGCCATAATTGTCTAGAATTTATGTGTTGTACCTTTTTCTCGTTAATTTGTTGGACTTTTCATGTGCATGTGGGCAGCGGATCAGATCGAGAGAGAGATCCTGAGAATCTCTGCCTTTTAATTAGTTGTTTGGATTAATATACAGATTTATGGGCTGGTTAGGATAGTTAAGATAGAGACAATTACTGGTGAGCAAGACAAAAGACACATGGATGTGTGAGTAAATAGTTGTTGTTGCTGCTGTTGATTATTTTGAAAATTTCAAAACGAAAATGCTTAAAATACTCAAAAATAACAAAGAACGAACGAATGAAATTAAATTGAACAAAAGTGGCGGGGCAAAAATGAAAAGTATGCGCCTAGTATGAATAATTGGCACGCTGGCACGATCGCAAGGGGTTATAAATTGCAGTGGGTAGGGGGATATATGTATGGGGTGTAGGGCTTGGGGGTGCATGCCGCAAATAAATGGCAAGCGCCTCATTTTGAGGCCACAGCTGTCAAAGCGCGGACAAAGGAACAATGCCCGCTGTTCGGGGCTTAAAGTCCTGATTGAGTGAAGTGAGGTATGCGAGGGGGATAAGGGGATCTGGGATCTGGGGATCCACAATCCACAATCCGGAGACGAAGGTCCCGAATCGCGAGCTGCGAGTGTCCACTGTCCGTACCCATATCAATTACTTAAAGCTCATTCACAACATTTTTTATTTTCACCTGACAAAAGCCCAAATGGCATCCAATCAATTCCCTGGCCAAGTTGCAGTGGCAACGAGCCACAAAGGCCGCAACACATGTTCTTGCGCCCGAAAAACTTATCGCCAGCGATGCGATAAACGATAAATAAATACAGGCAACAAGATGCTGCTGCCGGGACTAACGAAGGCGGACAATGTTTTTTCTCATCTTCTTATTTTCTTATATTTTTTTCTTTTCTTTCTGTTCATCTCTCTTGGTTAGTTAAGGCCAGAAAAAAAAACTGTCGCCGGTTTAAGAGAATGAAATAAAATAAAATCTGCAAGCGTTTTGTCAGCCAACTTCAGGTATTTCTTTTTATTTCTGGCTGTATATTTAAGAGATGCTGCTTCCTCATTTGTGGCCGTCATGATTATATGGCTCATACGAGTCTATTTGCATTTGGTGGGTGCAGCTGGAAAGCAAGGTGTGCTCTTTGTGTTGTAACAAACGAACAAACGAACGAATGAACAATTGCAGTGGTGCGAAAAGTGCGCGGCAAGTGCCTTACAATTTGCCCTTAACAGAGGTTAGACGGCGTCAACCGATGGTGTTGCTGCCGTGCTTTATATGTTGCTCTAGTGGCAAAGGTGGCTGTTGGTTTAAATAGTTTTTCTCAACTTAATCGACAGATAATATTTGTGACTTGTGTTGCTGCTGTTACATATATGTTGCTCCAGGCATATTAACATATTTTCTCCTTAACCAAGTATCAGAAATGCTGCCACATATTTTTCCCTTAACTGAATTTAGTCGGAAGACAAGAGAGCTAATATTGCTACTACGGCTAATATTGCTGCTGTGACTAATGTTGCTGCTGTTGTGTTTGCCTTTGGCCAGCTGGTTTGCCTTAGCTGGTTTTGCTGCTTGTTTTTGGGGGTTGGCTGTGGCAGCAGACCGACCCTCACGCATGGCCCAAGTGGCAGCTATAAAGATGTCGTTGTTGCTGTTGCTGCTGCTGATGTTGCTGCTGTCGGGCCATGCAAAAACGCAACGCTAAAGCAGGTGCAGCAGCCTGCAACTTCCGCAGCGAATGCGAATGAATGTGTGCTTGTTTGTGTGGTGGGTCTTTTCAAACAGCAGAAGCAGCAGCAGCGGCAGCAACATGAAGTAATTAACAACCACAACAGCAACAGCAACAGCAGCAACATCATGAGCCAGTGGAGCCGAGCAAAGCGTTGACAATAGCATTGAAGTTGCTGCCGCAGTTGCAGCTATTGTTGTTGCCGTTGTTGTCATTGTAATGTGCTGATTTCATGGCAAGCGAATACACCGCGTATACGCAACGGCGGGGCAGAGGATGAGGAGGAGTGGGAGGAAGGGCCCTTGCCCTGGGATCTTTCTGCATATTTTTACGCGGCCAGCGAAGGCAGGAAACATGCTCAAGTGGCGGGAATGTGGCCAGCATGCTGCTCCCGAGCACATGTCAAGTGGGCCAGAGGCTTCTCCTTTGGTTTTTCAGAGCAGGAGTTAAGTGATGAAGAGTTTGGACTTGGACTTCCCACGTGAGCGTGTGAAAAATGGCAAAGGCAATCAAAGAAGTGGTAAGGGGTTTTCAAAATGATAACTACAAACTAAAGTGAAAACTAAACAATAAGTGGTTCGCTCTGAGACTGCTTACAAGGAGGTTTCGGATAATATTTAAATATAAATGAAATATTTGAATCCCGATAAACAGTCTCATTGCACACAACACTGACGTAAACTTAATTGAATGGTTAAACAATCGATGGCGAGTAACAATGATTATTCACCCACACCGAGATCGCATAATGTCTATAAGCTTTTGTCTTGCTTACCAGCACTGGTCCGCGGCTTGGTCCGCACGGGCTTGACGTCCAGGCCGCCGCTGCCCGCGTTGCTCCCGCCGCCACTGTGGCCGCTCAGCGATCCCGCTCCGCCGCCTCCGTTGCCGCCTCCGCCGCTCATGCTGCCCATGCCCACGCCGGCGGAGCCCACGCCCACCGACCCACCACCCAGGCCGTGCATCCCCGAGGACGAGCCCCCATGGTGGTGGCCACTGTGGTGGTGATGGTGGTGGTGGTGCGCCTGCGCCGCGGCCATACTGTGACGCACTGCAGCCGCGGCCACCGAGGAACTTTGGAACATATTCGCCGCCGCCACGGCAGCCGCCTGATGATGCGCCGCCGCATGGTGGTAGGAGGCATAACTGCTGCTGTCGTAGCCACCGCTGGCCCCACCACCACCGCCGCCTCCGCCACTCCCACCGCTGCTGTACGCCTGCGCCGTTCCGTCGAACAGTCCGTTCGAGGAGGTGGCTGCGGAGGCGGCGGCTGCAGCGGCTGAAAGAGAAGCTGCTGCGGCGGAGGACGAGGCGGAGGTGTTGCTGCTGGCGGTGGTGTTGCTGTTGCTGCTGCTCTGTTGCTGCTGCTGCTGCTGTTGCTGCTGCTGCTGCTGTTGCTGCTGACTGCTGCTGGAGTTGGAGCTGGAATTAGTGGTGCTGGTAGTACCTTCGCGCTGCTTGGGCGTCGACGTGTGGGTGGTGCCGCTGCCGGAGGATCCGCTCGCACTGCCGTTCTGGATCGACGGCTTGATGTCCAGCGCACAGCTGGCGTCCGTCAGTGAGGTAGAGCCCGTGGCCTGTTGATGCATAAACGCGTTCATCACGGCCTGCAAAGAGAAGCGGGGTTTAAAGATTTTTTATGAAGCCAGAATGCTTGTTAAGCCCCGAAATACTGGCAAATGCCAAAATAATTTAAGCTTTCCTGAAACTTTATTACTCATTACTCATCAAAAACCTGATTTATTTGAATCGATAAATTTAAATAATTCATTTTAAATATTTAGCTGTATATTATTTAAATGTATTTATGCGTATCGATATAAATTGTTACTGATACAAATTTTATTTTAAAACAAGATGTTTAATAATTTTCATAGAAAGAAAAATAAAACCTTCAGTTTTCTTATTAAAAGAAAGAAATCTGCGATATTTCCCCCTAAATAGCAACCATTTACCGCAACTAAACTTAATCGAAATAATCGACAATCGCTCGCTTTTGCCGCAAAATATAAAGCCCAAGACCTATCGATTCCATGCGATGCAGATGCACCTCACAGTCACAGTCTCAGTCACTCACCTGGTACTCGGATGGACCGGTTTGCACGGAGTCGGGCGTGGAGTCCTTTGGCGGCGTCGGCGGGAAGGGGAACGAGTGCTGGCCGGCGGCCGTCGTCTGGTGGCTCTGGCCCATCTGGCCCAGCTTGTGCTCCACCTGCGGCTCCTGCGGGCAGGCGAACTGGCCCATGCTCCAGGCGCTGGCGGGGGCGAAGGACTTGTGCTCGCTGGTCAGCCAGGGACTCAGCGGGGTGTGGAAGTGCGGCCGGCACACTTGGGGCGAGGCATGGGTGGAGGGCATGCGGGATGCTAAAAGATAAAACGAAAGGGGGGTTAGGAATTTAATAAACTCTCGCTGTGCATCAGGTCGCATCAAGTTAAATGCTGCATTAAATCAATTATGGCCCAAATTTATAACGAAGATTAACCGACTAAGCCGCGACCAGAAGCGATCAAAATTCGTAATAAATGACGTTGTTGTTCTTATTTTTTCCTCTGTGGCTGCCGCGCAAATTTGCGGAAAAGCTGCGTTATAATTTATGAAACACCAGGCAGGAAAAAAAAAAGGAGAGCCGCCTCAGAACCTCTGACCACCGCTGCAACACTCAACCATCGAACCACCGAACCACCATTCATTGCTCGCGGCCTTCGGGCCAACAACTTTGCATATGGCCAAGACTATGGAGAGCTGGCCAAAAAGGTGGGGGATAAAAGAACTGCGACTGGGACTTCTGCATTGTCATAAATTGTTTAATTTGTATCATAAACAATCGCGTTAAACTTTTGTCCCAGAGCTAAAAAGATCGATCAACGGCTCGGGCCGGCTCACCTCGGCTTTTGGCCGGGCTAAAAGTGTAGCCTAAATGTCTGGCAGTGTATAATTTAGCAGACACCAAGTGAGATTTATGTGCGCCAATGCTGCCGGTTACTCCATCGATCCGATCCGATCCGATTCGATGCGATCCGACTCGATCCTATGCTATCCCAGTCGATCGACGGATCCGACAGATCCCCATATCCTCGCAGCGGGTGTTTCTGGACTTTTCCAAAGGGGGCAGGCACGTTGCAATTGTTTGGGGCGCACTTATTCTTATTATTATCATTAATATTGGCTGCAGCTCCCCAAAGAGTCGCAAGTCGCTGGCCCTCGGGGCTTGTTTGTATGTGAAATTATTTTTGATTATGCAGCAGCAGCAGTGGAAAAGGCAACAGCAACAGCAACATCAGCAGGAGCAACAACAGTCGAGGCTGGTTGGCCAACAGTAGGTCAGTTCATTGCACGCCGAGATGGATTAGGCCAAATCAAACCGAGAGTGAAGGAAGCTGTGAGTAAAGGATGGTTTGAAGAAGTGGGAATGCTCTATTTTCAGGGATTAAAAAATATTCCTAAAGAATTCGCGAAATTTTGTAATAATTTGTAATTCAATTCATTGAGCTAAAATGATATAGTAGCTCTTTGCCATGATAACTTCATCCCACCACCAATAATTCCACTTATTTTTCCAATCACAAATAAGAGTATTCAGCCATCAGTAGATGGAAAAAGCCAAACACGATCGATGGATCGTTGGGATCGCTGCTTTTGGCCGGATCGCTGGCTGCGATAATATCCATTTGATTATCCTAATAACAGTGCTTTAGTGGCGATATTATATGTACGTGTGCCTGATTATAGAAATTAGCTGCAGCAGCAGCAGAAGCAGAAGCATCACCACGAGGAGCCATGTACCACATAGAAACATGGTTCTCTTCTTGGGAAGACTTTGGCCCAGTGCAATGCCAATGCCTCAATCAAATGGGCTTATTGCTTTTCTCGATCTGCTGTGCAGACTTCACACTTTTGCGCCAAAGACAAAAGAGATCCACCTTAACCATATGAAGTCGTCATCGCAACGGCTGTATGTAATTTGCCAAGATCGGAGCGAAATAATACCATTGGTCATGCTAAATTATATAGTCGGACGGTTGCATCTTTCAGCCCGTTGCCAAATCAATGTCCGATGCGTTCTTTAATTGGCATGGCGAAACTTTCAATTTGCCAGCCGATGGTGTTGGCGATATCGGCGGGCTGTTAATGTTAATCCCGAGTTTTATGTTCGTACATGAGTATGTATGACTCATATTTGGCTTACTCGTTTTTTATACTCTTTATTTTTTGTGTTTTTCTGTTGTTGCTGCTGCTGCTGCTGCTGCTGGTCGTATAAAACAATTCGCTAATAAATCAAGCTGAGTACACAGCAATTAAAGTTGCAAACTTGAAACAAAAAGAACGACATTTTTTGCTGATGTTATTGTTGTTGCTTCGGCGGTATGCAAAGCTCGTGCTGGTGGAAAACGCTGCCCTTGGTCGTCTCCAGGCCAAAAGCAAAAAAAAATCCAGCCTGACACGTTCTACACAGCAACAACAAAAACGGTTTAAACAAAAAAAAGAAACATTTTGAAGCTTTTGGCCTGCGCTTGATTTCTTCAAACTGACAGATCAAAGCCCCAGAAGCCGCCGCTCTCTTTTAACCCGTTCGCCTCTCTCTTGGACATTTCTATGGCGTTTTAAAAGCGTTTGACAGCGCTCAACGCTCTCAGCGCCTGTCCATCTAAGCCAGATCCAAAGACCGAATCTAAACCGAAAACCCAAAACCGAAAGCCCGCCTTAAAGCGCCTTTTAATTGCAATCGAAGCTGACGCTTGACGACGACGTGAATGACATAATTAATGTATTTGTATATACTTATAACCAAATGTACGTAGGCCGGTTTGTGTGCACTTAGCCGGACGTGTTGGACATTTGAAGATGACAGCTAAAACAGGTGAAGCTCTGGAGAAACAGTAACAGAAACCGGTGAGGAGAAAACCAGGGAGATGAGATGGCTTCAATTAGTTAAATGCATCAGCTGCCGGCCAAGTTATCATTTCGGCCATCGCATCATTTGAATTTCAATGGGAAAGGACAACAAAGCAAAGCAGGGTGCTGAACCATCTTGATAAGGTTGAAAAAGGATTTCTCTCTCTCTCTCTCTGGTAAATTAAATTCACACCAAGCTCTGTTGGGAAAAGGATTGGATTAGGGGTGCGAGCTGCTGGGCGCTGTTATCAATCGATGGAAATCAAATCCGCAAATGAGTGAAACGAGAGACTCTTTAACCGTTTTCCAAGGAACTTGTGTGTGAAATGTCAGTGCCGGTCGATTAGTGGATTTGGCCGCTTCAGTTGACTCGGTTGATTCAGCTGATTCAGCTGCTTCCTGCCAGCGAGGGCCAACAATCAATCATGCGAGCGAGAGAGCGGCCAGGACAAGGCAATCCTGCAGCTCCTTCAGAGCCAGGACCAGGACCCCTCCTCGATGGCACAATGTCTGCAGGCGGTGGCTTAATTTATAGCCAGAGACAGAGGCATAGCTACCCTCGAGAAACAAGGACTTTTCTTTTCACCTGCTCAACGGGCGATTTGATGTTGCTGTTGTAGGCGCGTGGCTCCAAAATGCGGTCAAGTGTCTCTCGGCGGCGCTGTTACACCTGCTCCAAAATTGGAAATTGTTTAAGCATGCAGCGGTGGCAGCAACAACAAAAGCAACAACAGCGGCAACAACAAGCGGCAGCCAACAACGGGCCATAAACTATAACGGATTCCAGTTTTAGCCACCACCGCCAGCGAGATCGAGAGCTCAGTTTAGCAGGTAGGTCAGTTTTAGCTCGAAGACACCTTGATAGTTATAGATGTGCACACGGAAAATATACCGCATTTTCTTCATGTTTCTTAAAGAAAAAAATTGAACTTAGAACTATATGCTTAGAATATCTTTGGATATAGAACTAAACTCCTTATTTTAGGTGTGAAAATTCAATAGGAAGGAAGTGTTTAAGCCAAAGCCATTTTAAATATATGCCAATAAAATTTAATGATTGTATTTAGCCTTATGTTTTGAATACTAATAAAGGTTATTAAGATCGTATAATCACAAAGATTGATTTTTGATTAGTTTTAGAAAAGGTGTCTTAAGCAAAAGTGATTTTTAAACTTATAAAATATTTATGGTAGCATATAAGAAATAATTTTAGTTTTTAGAGTATGACAAATATAAAATTTGTTCGATAAACCCTAAAAAGTTAGTGTGCCTTTTTTCTACTATTTAGGAGCTATAAGTACGAAGAAACTATTTCTTCAAGTGCACCTCCAACAGTAGCTGAAGTTGAAGTTGAAATTGAAGCTGAAACTTGGGTCTCTTGACTGCTTAGCATTTTGCGCGCTTGTTTGTTTTAATTATTTCTTTGCTTTCTGCAGTTGCGTGACTTCCACTGACTGACTGACTGACTGTAAGATTGCCCGAAGGACTGAATGACGGAATGGCCGAGTGAGTGACTGACTGACAGAGGCAGGCTGCATTATTAAGCGCAAACTGCGCTGCCGCTGCCATCTATATTATTAACACTTTATTTGCAGCCCCCGGATCAGCGTTGCATGCCAGCTTATCATTAGTCATAAGTTGTCAATTGTATTTATGATAATGCGTTTAATAACTCAAGTAGCTGGAGCAGCAGCCGCGAGTTGTAAGTTATGCCGTTGCACAACGCACCGCCCTGGAAAAAACATGAATATTTTTATATTTTTTGAGGAATTCTCTGGGTTATTAATTGCTTTATAATTGACGTATTACCAGGACAGAGCTGCTGCGCCGCGACGGGAATTTCGCTCCGAAAAAGGAGAGAAAAATGGAAAACAATGAGAGCTAACCAGTTAACCAGCTTGTTTGGGCCAACGTGTGAATTACGTGGCCTGGCCCAGCTTTTGCATACGTGCCACAATGTGGCAGCCACAAAATAAAACACAGAAAAAATGCAGGAAAATGGGAAAACACGTTGACAACAACAAGCGCGGCAATGGGAGTTGGGCTGGGTCTGAAGTGCGCCATTTTTGTGGCCATTTGCAGTTGGTGGTGGGTGAAAAAAATAAAAAATAAAACACAAAAAAAATGCTAATAATGCGGCTGCAGCGGCACAAAAAGGCGCGTGCATTGAACTGGAATCCTGGCCACGCAATGCCAACTTTAACTTCAACTTATGCAAATGCAACGCCAGCCTGTCAGTCATTCAGTCAGTCGACCAGTCAGTCAGTCCGCTGGCTTGACAGTTTTTACTTTTTCGCCGGACCTTGGCTAATGAGCGGACACCCCGCAAAAGGATGCGCGAATCGAATCCTGTCCAGAAATGCCTGCGGGCGCACTTATGACAGTTCGAAGCGTCAGCGAAATCATTAAAATTGACAAGTTTTTATATGGCAAAACCAAATTTGGTCACTCAAAGGCAGCGTTTGAAGTG